GTATTAGAAATTCCAAGGCCAACATGAATGAGCCTATTTATGGGGAAGCATATCTGTATTTAACGAGTACATTCAAGCAGAATACATTCATGACTATATCATCAGAATTGCAGATCCATCAGATTGGTTATTTGGAACCTTCTTTCCTTCTGAATCAGCTTTCGGTGAATTGGCCCCGTGTCATCTGTTGGCTTCTGGCTGCCTGGTTCTGACCAGTGGCCTGCAGGCTCCTTTGGAAAGTGAAGGGCACAGGCCCGACTCAGTGACCGCTCAGCCCCGACACTCCTTTTGGCGAACACAGGGTGCATGGAAGTGCCTGCGTCTACAGCCAGGAAAGGGGTTCTTCCTTGGACAGGGCAGGCCCGGGGTCATCCAGATGCAGCCCTTTTCTTGGGGGAGGAAGCATCTTGTGCAGTGCGAGTCTTCTGTCTACTCACCTTGACCGTATGTAACATACCAGAAGACATACCACACACACTCCACAGAGCACGGTGACTGACGTGGAGATGGCCGCTGGAAAGAGAGCAGAATTGAGTTGGCATTGAGCTCGAAGGCCCGGCAGCAGATTTGTTTCTGAGACTGAAGATTCTTTACAGTTTACATTCCTGCAGCAAGATCCAGATGCCTTCCTAGCCAGCTCACCGTTACTAACAGTTCCCTGAGGTCCAGCTGTTCAGCCTATTCTACGTCTGGGCACAAAGGACACTCCTTTCCCACCAACACTGCCAGTTCAAACCGTCCCCATTCGCATTATCTGCATCCTCGTCCTTCCCGATCAATGTGGCATGGGTGACTGGGCAGGGACGGGAGTGAGGCCGGAGGAGAAAGTAAGGGCCTCAGCGATCAGAAGCTGGGCATGAGCATCAGGGTGAGGGCACCAGCACCCCAGGAGGAGAGGAAGCTGCTGCTAAACCCAAAGGTGGGTAAATAGGGCAGGGATCCTCCTCAGTTGTCCCCGCCACAATGTCCCCCTTTTCTCCACCTTCACAGAATCCTGATTCAGAAACAATAGCAGGCAGTGCCATTTTTCTTCCAATTTCATCTTTACTATGTTTTTTTATTTGCAACTTTTTACGGTGGTGTTAAGAAGGGTGTCATGAGGCAGGTGTTACAGGTTAGAAGAGAATAAGGTAACAGCTTAGGAAAAGGGGAACACATGTTTCGTTGGAGTTGAAAGGACCAGCACTGGGAGGGGGACTTGAGGGTGGAGGGCCCCAGGCACGATGGCTTGAGACTGTTAGGGAGGGTGGGATCTTCACATGGAAGCGAGAGGGCTGAGCCTGAGGGCAAGCTGAACAGAACTGTCTTTAAAACATTTGTATCAATCATAAGCACCAAGCAGATTTGGCCAGTTTGCCTTACTATTGTGAAATCTCCCTGCAAAAAATCGCCTATGTGCACTGTGTGTAAGATGACAGCCCTGAACGTCTGGGGACCCAGGAATCTCACTGTGGACCAGGAGGCACATTCATCTGAATTGTTGAGCTTTTCAGACCTGCACCTATACGGACAGCACACAGCTGTGCGTACAAGGATGAATCACCCATGACGTGGCCTTAAAAATAGAACTTTCCTGAAAAACAGCTAAATATGAGGGGAAATACCCAGATTCTCTGCAGGGTAGAAGAGGAAGTGGGTGAAATTTTTCTCAAGGGCAGTTAGCACATGTAACAGAAGCTTTGGAGAAGACCGTTTCCTTTGACTCTCTAAGTCCACGACTAGAAATTTATTCTAAGGAAATAGGAAATACATATACAGTATTCACTAAAGTATTGTTTAAAATAATTTTTAAAATGTTAATCTAAATCTCTTATCAGTAGAAAATTAAAATGTGGCATACCCACACAATGGAATATTATTCAGCTTTTTAAAACTATGAAATCTACATTTGTTAATGTGGAAAGATGTCTGCGATGTCAAGTTAAAAAAGCTGGTTGACATAAAAACAAAAAAAAATTTCCAGTAAGCCATGTGTGTATCCATACGCACAGAAAAGTCTTGAAGACTATATACCAAAGTATTAGGTAATACTTCAGGATTGTAGATAACCTTATTTTCTTTTTTAAAAAGTTTTTTTTCCTGAAATTTTTGCAATGATATTGTAATCAGAAGAGACACTGAAGTTACAGAAACATAACTAGTTGCACCTAAGTAAATAAAAATAAGCATAGAAAAGTTGTTCCATAAAAAGTAATGGAAAACATGGGAAATTAGTGGAAGTTGTTTTGAGTTTTTAGACTTAACATTAATCATCATTATGACTAAAAGACAAAATTTTTTTATGTGACTCAGTTAAACTATTCCTTCATGTTGACTAATCAGGTTGGCATGCATTTACTGTTCATGGAGAGATTTATTGGAAAAGGCAAGCTGATGTTAACTATAGTTCCACTTTCACAATGCTGCTTCGTGTTTCTTCTTATTGAGAATAAAAACTGTAGACTCCAACTCAAGTGGGAAGAGCGCCCCTGAGCCAATGATATAACACAGCAATTTGAATTCAGCCATTTGAACTTGGCCTCTTCCTCAGTTATTTCCAGGCAAATTTAGTAAAGAAACCAGAATCACCAAAACAATGGATTAATATATCACCTGCTACGTTCTCCACCCTTTTGTGTTTCCTAGGGGGCACATGGATTGGAGAAAAAGGAAAAGAGATTTGGCAAGACAGAGGAAAGAGGGGAGAAAAGGTAGATGATTGCACAGGAGCCCAGAAGGGCCAGGAGCCCCCGCCTTGACTTCAGCCTACAGTGATGTTGGGTCTACAGTGGGGAAGGCGGCCAAGGTGGCCAGTGGCCACTGTTCAGTGTGGGTGATGAAAGGGTCCTCTGTACCCACAATGGAGTATCACCTCACGCCGGTCAGAATGGCCATCATCAACAAGTCTACAAATAGCAAGTGCTGGAGAGGGTGCAGGGCAAAGGGAACCCTCCTACACTATTGGTGGGAACGTAAATTGGTGCAGCCACTATGGAAAACAGTCTGGCGGTTCCTCAAAAAACTAAAAACAGAACTACCATATGATCCAGCAATCCCACTCCTGCCTATATGTCTGGAAAAAATGAAAATACTAATTTGAAAATATACGTGCAGCCCAGTGTTCATAGCAGCACTATTTTCCAAGCCAAGACATGGAAGCAACCCAAGTGTTCATCCACGAATGGATAAAGAGGTGGTATATATATATATATATACAATGGAATATTGCTCAGCCTTAAAAAAAAAAAGAAATTCTACCATTTGCAGCAGTGTGGATGGGCCTAGAGAATATTACGCTTAGTAGAATAAGTCAGACAGAGAAAGAGAAAATACTGTATGATATCACATATATGGAATCTAAAAAATAATACAAATGAATGTATTTGTAAAACAGGAACAGCCTCACAGAGAAAACAAACTTGTGGTTACCAAAAGAGAGAGGGAAGGGGGAGGGGCAAATTAGGGGTAAGGGATTAACAGATACAAAACATTATACATAAAATAGATAAACAATAAGGATATACTGCACAGCACAGGGAATTATAAGCATTATAATAACGTAAATGGAGTATAATCTGCAAAATTACTGAATCACTATGCTGTACACCTGAAACTAATGTAATATTGTAAGTCAGCTATACTTCAATTTTAAATGTGTCCTCTGTGAACATCCAGGGAATCGTCATTTCTCGGCAGTCCCTGCAAACTAGTTAAGCCGCAGGGTAGTGTATTTGATGTGCCGTGTGCCTGCGTCTGCTGAAGGTAGTTTTGAAGTGAGAATGTCAATTCCTTATTCCTGGGGAGTGGTTTCTGTGTCTTCCAGTACTGAGCACTCTGCTGGGTTCAGAGTGGGTAATCAATAAATACTTAATTGATCAAATTAAACCATTAACCTTCCATAAGCTGAAGGACATGTAAGGTGCCATTTGCTTTTTAATGAGAAATCTGCATTTCGTTGCAGCTTAGGACCATATCTGGCACAGGATAGGAACTCAATTTATATTGTTTGAATAGATGAATGACATAATATAGGGGTAGCTCCTGTTAAAGGCTGAGCATATAAACTGCAGCAAATGTATTTCAGCTATGAGAGATGAGAGGTATAATACAGTCTGAAAGGTAAACCCTTTACTCCTGGTGCACTAAATGAATATGGCAGCGTAATGTGATGCACCAACTCTGGCTTCTACGCCAGTAGCCTGACAGTAAGAAACTACCAACATTAAGATAAATAGTCAAGTTAGAATTCCATAAACAGGGGGATCATGTAACTTACCTAAACAGAGGCACTTTTGAGAGTGAAAGAGGCAGCTGTTGGTGACCATGCTGGGACAGCAGGCATAAGCCAGGTCCGCCCAGCTCCCTGGCACTGAGATGCCCTGAGCATAAACACCACCAGGACAAAGGAAAATACTTACCAGTCACAGCTCTGGGATTGTACTGATATGCACCTGCTGAGAAGAGATTGCAGCTCAGTTATTGCCATGGTCCTAAAGGCACTAATTTCTCACTAAGCAAGACAAATCCTAGACAATTTGGCTCCCATCTTAAAGCCTTGAGAGAGTCACGGCTAGCAAAACCAGCCTCACTTTAGCACAGAACCAGGGTCATTGATTTGATTGATGCTGGGCCATGCTTAAGAATCAGATATGCTCTTAGAGAAGATGCCGATTACCGAGCGCTCCCCCATCCCACACATTGTGATTCCAGATCAAGGAAAGCTTCCTCTGGCCTCCCATGTTGGGAGGAGGAAGATCTTATTCTGATTCTTGGTAAAGGCTCTGCCATGTGAATTAATACGGGGAGGCTTGTCACATGTAGGAGACAGGCTTTCTCTCCCCGCTGAGCTGAGCCAGGGTGGAGCACAGAGAACCAAGGCTGTGGCAGAGAGCAGGAGGCAGAGGGTTGCTCAGTCATCCTGACTTTGGATTGGATGGTGTGATGCGATCGGCTCGCTCAGGATCTGCGACTCAGAAGCAGCCTGTGGGAGCTGCCCTCTCCTTCAGCATGCAAAGCCAGCACTAACCGGGCGGGTCCTGCGAGGCCGAGGGGGTGTGTTCTGGAGCCTTGGCTGTTGTCTGAGCTGGGACTTGGGAGGGCTCATTTTTGACTACCCCTGTGGTCCCCGCAGAAGGAGCTTTGGATGGCATCAGCCTGGAGCCTGGTCCAGTAGCCAGCCTTGTGGCCACTGTGGTGTCTGACTTGGAAGTAAAAGCTGGCTCTGCAGGGAAGTGCAAGACATGGACAACGAAAATATTGAGAACAGTGTCTTTTCTCGGCTTTGGAAGAGAGTATACTAACACCGGCTCGTGTGAGCCTGCCCCGGCCAGCCCGCCCCCAGCAAACTCCACGGCTCTGGGGGAAACCCCTTGAGTGGGTAACATCTTCATCCATCTGGAATGGCCAAGGGGCTTTTGAGGACGCTAGAGGATTTATGGCTATTTATCATGGGGCACATAAACTAACCATCCCAAAGATCTGAGTAGAACCAGGCACTAGAGAAGTGTTTACTAGGAGACCCAGCTCAGATAAACAGTGGAACTGTACTGGCCAAAAGACATTGGGATGCTGATTTTAGTTTACTTTTTACATGTTTGCACAAAACATTTGAAATCGGGAACCTGAGATTTGCCCTGAGGGATGTGTCCGTGCTTGGCCCCCATCTCGGGGAGGGTGGGCCACCTGCCTTATGTTTAGGTCCTTTACCTCCCCATCCCTCACTGGCCAACGGCTGCCCCAAAGTGTAAAGTGTGGTGGCACAACTCCGCTGTTCTCTTTCTGTGAAAAATGGGTCTTCCACTGTGACAATACGGTGCTTAGGAGCCCAGCCCTGGAGCAGAGGGTGCGCAAGGGCGGCTGTGAGCCCTGCATCCCGGGCTGTCAGGCCATACAGTCGGGCCGCTTCCCCACGCTCTCCCAGCAACGTGGGCAGAGCATGGGTGGGCACCCGTGGCCATGGCGCCTGCCTGGGAGATCAATCTCACGTCTGAGGTTTCACTATGCAGCTGCATCTGCCAAGTGTTTGGGGCATGAAGGCAAGGCTGGGGGAGGCCACCCGAACCAGGTGTGACTTGAACCAAAGGGATTCTGGGTACTCCAGCCACTTCCTTCCGTTTGTCACCGGCTAAGTAACTGGGAGGAAACCTTGCTCCCACCTCTCCATCCTCCTTTCAGCAGTGGTTCTCAGCCTTGGGCACCTAAGTAAGGGACCCTAGGAGAACTTCTAGAACCCTAATTCCCAGATGCTCCCCAGACCACCCAGAGTTCCAAGGAGATTTCAATGAGCATCTACGGTTAAGAACCGGCTCTCCAGGGAGGCAGCCCAAGCAGCACCGTCAACCACAGTGGGATGGCTGTGCCTGGAGGGAAGGGAGGAGACGGGGACCAGGAAAAGCCTCACAGTGGGTAATGGGCGGCAGAAAACCAGGAGTCAAGAGAGGGTATTAGAGGATACAGCACACGTTGTCTCAGGATGTTCAGCCTCCAAGAGCTCGGATTTTCTTAACATCAGGACGGTGCTGAGGAAATTGGGGTAGAGTTTACCTAAGACTCGGTGGAAGTGCAGAACCCTGGCAGCTTCGTGCACGCGTCTGTACTAAAGCAATCACAGGTTATTGGGAGACGGCTCTGTGTGGGTCTACTCCCGGTTCTGCACATCTTGCCAGCAGGGCACTGACGGCCCTTTCTTGGCACCGTCTTTTCAAGGATGCTTAGATGGCCATGGAAGGTGGAGACAGTGCCTCCCCCTGGAACACAGGGCAGACATGTTCATGCCAGCAGTGAAACACTCAGGTTCCTGCTCAGGCTTCCCCTCCAGTGACGTAGGCTGCCCGTACGGGCATCTGTTTAGGCCTGCTTAAGGCATGTGGGGACGAGGGACTTGATGAAACCTGCTGACAGTCCTGTTGCCTGTGGTGCCGGGTAGGAAAGTCCTCCATCTCTGACCCAGGAGGGTCAGGTTTTCTGCCAGCACCCATGAGACCTGGCAAGGCTGACGTGCAAGGCATTCAGAACCTCAGACCCTCCCCCGTTCTTGAGGCTACGTTTCTACCACAAAGTGTGATCTGGCCTATTTAGAGTGGATTTTAAACCGTTATTAATTATGTACCTGTGAAGCCTGGCTATCAAGCTACTTTGGTTTAAAAGGGAAAATGAAACTAATGTCAATCCTCATTCTTGACGTGACTAAGAGGCAAACGCGGTGGAACCCTGGCAGTGGTCCACGAATCTGAGGGTTCTCTGTGGACCGGATAGCATCAGGGGATGAGAGTCCGGAGAGAGTCTGTGACACTCCTACCTTTTCCAGAAGGGTTGGGGCTGTCTGGCTCTGGGGTCACCCCTGTCGGCGCTGCTGTGGAGGGTGGCCTTTGGTGAGTCAGGGAGGGGTCTCCTAGAGAGAGGATAACCACATGGCGTTTATCATCCTGAGGGTGGAACCTGGTGTGGCTTCAGAACTGGATGTAAATAAAAAATAAATATATAAATTTAAAATGGACACGTCTGGCTCCCTAGGCTAGGCCAGAAGCACAAGAGATAAACAAGCATCAGTCTGCAGTTCCCATTGCAAACAGACTGCACACTATTTTTTTCTAGCGTTTCAGAAAGACTGCATAAGTTAAGTATCACATGTGTTTTATTTTTGGCTGGGATGATAGCAGCGATGTCAACTCAGCTTTATAACGCTGGCTTTTGCGTGGGAAAATAAATGATTACTCAGTGGATTGTTTTTGGCACAAGAGGTTGGGGAAAATAATGGAGGCAGCTGTTAGTGGTAAAAGGTGGGGGCTTTGGGGATGAGACCTAAAGGTTCCTCCAGTCTTTGGGTTCTAAAAGTCTACGATTCCAGGCCTCGCCCCCTTCTTTCCTCTCCCGCCTGCAACCTGCCCTGTTCAGTTCGCCATCCTCGATTCATTCACCCAGAGGAATTGGAACTTTGAAGAAACAGTCACTCTCCCTACAGTGGAAAGCCCTGTTTTTTGCTCTTGGACTATGGTTCCAGTGGGTCCCCGGACTAGACCGAGGAAGACACCTGTGTTCTCCCAGAAGTTACTGCTCAGACCCGTCCTCACCCAGCTCATCCCTCCAATGGCCCCAGGATGCCATGGGTGCCATGTTCCCAGCCCAGCTATTCCTCTGCAACGAGCAGAAGGCTCCCTCCCTGCCCGGCCTCTGATGCCTGCATGGTGGCCACGCAGGGGGAGGGTAAGGGGTACAGGGCGATCTCAGCGCTACAGATTCAAAAAGCCAGAGGGAGTCTGGCTTTTCAAGGAGTCCCCCAGCTGTGAGTTTGCTGTTGAACAGCCCCGCTTGTCTGCTTTCCCCAGAGAGGAGTGGCGAATTTTCACAAATACTACGTGAGAAAGTATCACGGCTGGACATGCACCACGTGCGCAATAACTGTTTGTTAAATCATCATTCTCTTGGAAGATCACAGATTAACCTTTCCTTTTCTAGAGTACGGGGCTTAGTATTCCTGATACTAGCACTACTGGCTTCCACTCCAAGATTGTTTGACTTCTGGTCTGGTTATCCAGCTGTGGATGGTTTAAAAAAAAAAATCCCTGGATCTCCAGGGATTCTGGAGATCTTTCCTCACACCCAGTCTTGAGCTCTGGCGGGACCCCAGACATGATAACTGGGCCAAGGGGGTCTCTGCCCTGTGGGTCTCCACGCTGCTCTCCGGGCAGGAGAACGGGGAGTGATTTCCTTGCAGGCTGTCCCCTCGGGAGGGATCGGGAATGCTCTCTGGGAAACAAGCATGCTGTGAGCACACACCTTTGTCTGTAGCCAAATTCTTGCTTCTATCATCTTAAAGCACTGAGGTAATAATAGTTAATATTTACCAGATTTCTCTTAATCCTCCTACAAGCCACAATGTTGACATCAGGTCCATTTTCTAGATTAGGAACAAAGGGATCCAAGACATTAAGGCCCTCACTCCAGGTCTCACAGACGGTTAAGTGGCAGAGCCAGGACTTGAACCCAGAACTGTGTGACCCCAAAGCCCATGTATTTCCACCTCCCGGAGGTGTGTTTAGAAGCCCATTTGTTTATTTAGTCTCAGTCCTTAACCCAGATGTCAAGGCCACCTCATTCTGCTGCCCACACTGCAGTCTGCTCTCTGCGTGGCCTTGGCAAAAGGGGCGGAGGGACAGTGCACTTACTGATGCACTTGAGATTGGGAGTGGTCCAGTGGGCGATGTTCACAGTCTTGTTAAACATGCACTCGGTCAGGCTGGAGGTCCCAGCTTTACGCTTGAAGCCAGAGTTACAAACATACCGCTCCCTGGAGTTGAGGTTGTAACTCTTGACCCAGATGTCTGCATGTTTCACAGGTGTGGGAGTTGGGCATGTGATGCCTGCAGAAGTGCAGATGAGAGGGGAGAGATGAAGAGATTTCAGCGTGCTCCGAGGGAACACTTGGGTGGTAGTCAATAACTTTATAGTCGGGGACTGGATTATTGTAGGGGCCCCTGGGGATACACCTCAGATTCCAAGCATGTGGAAGATGTTGAGGAAGGGCCCCCCATTGTCTAGAAGCTGTCCAGAATCTTGCCTCAAGTACCAGCCATTCAGCATAGCTAGATACCAGGGGTCATCAATAGAGACCCCTCTCTCTTGCCCTCCACTCCCATCAGTCTCCAGCCTCAGTATCTCTTAGCCTCTGGATTGCTATCCCTACAAGCCTTTAATCCATTTCCACAAGGCAGCCGGCATCTTCAGATGACTTCAAGTTTGATGACTTCACTCTTTCTCGGTTGCCCACTGCTCTTAGAATAAAAACTAAAATCAAGGCTCTGCTGGATCCGGCTCTGTCTGCCTCTCCAGCTACTCTTCCCTCTGGCCACACTGGCCTCTGGTCCCCCCATGCCTCTCACCATGCACCTCCCCCACCCACTCTCGGCTGGCCATCTCCTGCCACCCTTCTTAGCTTAGTTCAACATCACTTCCTCAGGAAAGCCCTCCCTCAGCCCCACAATCGGAATAGCTGTTGGCATTAACCAGGACCCCACGGGGTAACCACTGACCATAGAGGAAAGGCTACACCGATGAGGACTGGAAGAATATTAGTCATGTGTATATATTATATACTGTTTTAAATATATGAAATACTTCATAATAAAAAAGTGGGGGAGGGGATTTTAAAATACCCTGCCACAGGAAGTCAGAAACCTTGGCTGACCACAGGGCAAGAGAGGGCTAAACCATGCCAAAGGTGGGTATTCAGTGCTTTTGCTGCTGAATGAATGTGAAAAAGGTAGGAGATCCTAGAATTAGGAATTTTCTCCTTTCTCTGGGCAAGTTAGGGCAGCTTAGGGTAAAATTGAAGCCAAAAAGACTTGTGGGGCCATTTGGGAGGATTCTGGACAGGCTTTTGGGAGACAAGACACAAGTCACTCCCAGCAGACTGTGGATATGACAAAGTGCACGTGGAGTGAAAAATAAGATACGTTTTATCAGAAGAATGTTACCAAAAGAAGGTAAGAGCCAGAACTAGAACAATTAAAGTTTTCTTAATAATTGCCCCCTTCTAATTAGTTGGAAGTTGAAAGATTTGAGCAAGATTTAGACCCTACGATTTTCTTTGTATGAAACTTGATGGCTAAAACCAGTGTCCTGGGGTTTGCCCCATCCTGGACCTTCATTTCATTTCTGAGGCACCTCTCTGTAGACAGATGCTCAGTAGATCAGCAATCAGCTCCATAGCTGGTCTAGTGCTGTTAGCATGACACCTAGTGAAGTCCTTTGTTCTCATATCTGAGTTTGGGAACAGGCTAGGATCAGACAGTGCTAGTCTGAAAGTCTGCTGATTTAGCCACCTGAGAGTACTGGGAACAGCCCAACTCCCAAATGGATGAGGTGGGCTCAGTCACCTATCGGGATGAGACAGTGTCCTATCCAGATTAGAGCCTGTGCTACGCCCGGAGGGGGACAGAGTCTGGAAAATGTGACCATCTTCCACAGTTTTGCATGACGTGCTGAGGATGCTGGATTCCAGAACATGAATCTGCACCTGTCTTGGAAAATGTCTCTGTCTTCACCCGTGTGTCCTGGTGGTGCTGAGTTCCTTCTACAGCCTTCGAATAAGCCAGTCTTGTTTGATTTACCCCAGTAGAACCTGTGCCTGCTTCCTAGAAATCCGAACCTTCCTCTGGTCGGGCAGGATCTGGGGTCAGCTTTGACTAGCCACGGGCCCCCCAAATAGCAGCTTTCACCATCCTTCTCACCTGCTCTCTGTGGACTGGGCTGCCTCTGTCCAGAACCCTAGCTTTCTGGACTAGGGACTGCCCCTCTGCCCAGGTCTTGTCCATCTCCTCCAGAGGGCATCCCCTGGATTTCCACACTCCCCAGCTGCTGGCCTAGGTTTGGATGTCAGAGAATGACTGCCAGAATCACCAGGACACTTATTCACCTGACTCTCAGTGTCACCACCACCTGGACCCCTTATGCCACATCCTGCTGGCCAGGTGGGCCTCTTTAGATACCAAAATCACAAGGAGCCATCTCCAGGGACTTCCCTGGTGGTCCAGTGGTTAAGACTTCGCCTTCCAATGCAGGGAGTGTGGGTTCGATCCCTGGTTGGGGAGCTAAGATCCCACGTGCCTCTCAGCGAAAAAAAACAAAACAGAAGCAATATTGTAACAAATTCAATAGACTTTAAAAATGGTCCACATCAAAAAAAAAAAAAAAATCTTAAACGAAAATAAAGAAGGAGCCATTTCCAGATTCAGAGTGTGGTTTGAACAATCCACGGTCAAGTGCCCGGCAGCCTGCAGACAGGCCAGCCCACTGCTGGGTCAGCTGTCAGACCCTCCCCTCCGGCTTCAGGCTCTGTCACTGAGGTGTCAACATCCTTAATGCCCGGAGCCCACCTGAGCTCGGTGGGTCAGTCACTCCAGGCTTTACTTTGGTCTCCCTAGTCTCAAGAGGGAAAATGGATTGTTTGCTTTTTGTTCTTAATCCAACCCCTAACTCTTCTTTTAAAGCCCCATTGACATCTAATATTAGATTTTTAAAACTATAACATACAGCTTGCCGTCCTTTATCACTCCATCCTGATGGTGACAACGTTCTCTTTTCGCTTACGGGGCTTCTATAGTGGACTCAAACATTTTCATTTTCTTTTCAATGAGATCATAAGATAATCGTTATTTCAATGTACCAGTTTTCTAAAAAAAATTTTTCCTACTAATTTGTATGAACAAAGTTCATAGTGAAGAGAAGAAATCTGGCTGTTTAGGTTTACTTCCTTCATCTTCCTCTCTCCCCCATCTGGTCTTTGGGTTGTACCTCTTTCGCCTGAATCCCTTCCCAAACGTTTTTATTTGTTGTGTAGTCCTCAAGTTCAGCTTAATCCACTGATTTTAATTTCAAATGATTTTTTTTTTTTTTTTTTTTTT